CATTTAATTTCTGATATTTATTAATATTTTTCATCAAAATAAATATTAATCGTTATTGTTCTGATGCTCACAAATATAATTAAAACACATTGACTTAAAAATAAAAGTTGAAATATGATGTGTTTTGTTTCTGAGATACCAGAGTATGTTTGTGTAATTATTACCTGACATGTGTTATGGGGGAAGGAGTGTGACATTTATTTTATTTTATATCTGTCGTTGAACACTCGACCCAATTTTGAGTTTATGACTACCAATGTCCTCAACCTAGTAATTTCGAACCCAATCCAGAAGACAAGGGAACTCCTGGATGAAGGGCAGTCAGTAGGGCATATATCAAAAATGCTAAAACTGGCATTTTTCGATGTACCTTTTATAAGAAACTACTTACGATATTGCGTTGAAAGTTTTTAGGAATATTTGAGATTATATCAGTTGTATGCTGTGATAATGTCTTACAGTTAACGGGAATACTTTTTGACTTATGAAAGATTTTTGCTCAAAAAGGATGAAACTTACTTAAATTTTCTGCTAAAGATAAATACTAACAGTTATCATAGCGTAAACATGTAAATGTCAATATTTTGTGGGAAAAAAATGAAACAATATCTTGTTTAAATGCTGAAGAAAAGGTACATCGAAAAAGGGTAGTTTTAGCATCATTGGTAAATGCACTATCGACTCTCTTTAAATATTGGGAGAAATTTGAGTTCGCGTAGGGTATTTTGATGGAACTACATGGAAAGTAAAACCACGAAAACCTCCCACGATTAGCCTGACGGCAGCGGGACTCTAACCCACGATCTGTCGACCACTGAGGATACGTTTACGTCGGCACTGTGGTCGGTGCAAGCCTGGTGAGGAAAAAGTATCGACCGGCAACCGAACCCGGTTCACCTCATCGGAAGGCGAACGCTCTATCCCCTGAGCCACCATGACTCCGAGTGTGACAGTTAGTGACAAAAGGGAGGAGGAGGAGGTCATAAATACTGAAAACCAAAATCTGATATCACTTTTGCTGTCCCTAATTAAAAACATTTTCGCCATGAAAAAAATTGTCTTAAAAAAAAAAAAGAAGATTCCAGAAGAAGATTGTCGACTTTTAGAAAAAATGTAAAAAACTCGTCCTCTTGTTATAGCAAATCATTGATTAAAAATTATTTGTCTAAGTCTCTTTAAAAAAGTGGAATACATTTTTTAATTTTTATGTCGATATTTGTTTAATTTTATGTTTACAGAAATTAAGACAAAGAAAGGAAAGTGCTTTTAAAAAATCAAAGAAAAATATTTAAATAGTTTGATGAATAATTGAAGTTACAGCAAAATATTTAAATAGAGTCGATAAAAGAAAGCACAATAATTAAAGAAATAAAATATGAAATATCAAAATTAAAAAAAAAAAGAAAAGTATATTCAAAAATAATGTTCAAAAGAAAGACGCTCCAGAAACACGGTAGATTAATTATCGATTAATGAGAAAAAAATTCCATCTCGTACAAACTTTCCACCGATAGTATCGTCAGCAAAATTAAATATTTGTTGAACAGTTTCCAGCGAAGAAAGATGAGCACGTAGAACAACATACTCATCCGCAAAATCTTCCGAATTCGAAGTGAGCCTCCGCTAACAACGGAAAGAATGTTTCAAGTAAAGTGCAGACGAGATTTTTTATATTCTTCCTCGAAGGAAAGCGATATTCACGGTGGATGCGGGATGAACCTTTACATAAAATATAAATAGGATCTCAAATAAGAACTACTTGAGTTGAGGGGGAAGGAGGGGAGGAACAGCTGAAGCGAAAGATATGGAAGGCAGATCCGTCATGCATGATCGCCGGAAGAAAAGAGGCAAGTTCTAGCTACTTATTGCCTCCCCGCACCGATTGCTTTGATCCAGGTAAATTTTAAGGGACTTTCCGTTAAATTCCTGGATTGACTCAAAATTGATTTTGTCTACATGCATGGGTGTTGTTTTAACACCGATGTTTATACGCACTTCATTTTACTTCTAATAGTTATAAAAGGTGCGTCCTGGCCGTGGGATATTGCCTTATCGCAGAAAGCATTCAGACCCTATATCTATGTAGATTTATTTATTTATTCACATACATATGCTGGCTTATGTGCTTAACACAAAGAATAGCGAATAAGCTCTTGGCAAGATGAAGAACAGATAGCACAAATTAAAGAAGGACAACGGATAGATACATCCACGGCGGGTTTCGAACCTGCTATCTCCTCGCTTCAATGAGCTAGATCAGAGAGCACAAAAGAGCAAAATACCTCAGGCCACGGATCTGCATTTTTATTTTGTGCTGCCTGATCTTCAATTTGTCCCTCAACAGACTGAGAAGCCTCTCTGACCGAGCCAAACGCTGTTCGAATCCCGATGTATCTTTGTGCTGTCTTTCTCTCTATTGTGCTACCTGTCCTACTATTTGACAAATGTTTATAAGCCTTAATTGACCACATAAGCATGCAAATGCATGTTGTACCAATAAATAAACAACGGACTGATCCTTGAGATACGGTTCCCGAAAGATCACCTATCAAAGCATCACTGGCAGTGGTCAGAGGGTGGGTGACTACCTCGATTAGCCTGCGAAGAGGCGGAGGTAGCGAGGTATCAATCCTCGTTAAACTGTTCTACCATAAAATGCTCAACTACGCTCGCAGGTCGTTCAACTTTGAAAGAGACATGCCATCACTTCTGCAGAGGATTAAGATTGTGATGACATGTCTTTTGGTCATCCTCCGGGATGTTTCCCAGACCGTCGCCAATAGCCCATTGTGCAGCTCTAGTGCGACGTAAATTAACAACAACAACAACAATAATGCGATAAAAATAAAGTACTATTACTATTCAATAAATAATGGTGCATAAGGTCAAGTCTATCTGAAACAGATAGCATACATTAGAGAACGACAGAGCTTAAATACATCCAGAGTTATAGCGGGATTTACCACCACGCATCAGAGTGTTTGACGCAAGAGCAAAATCCCGCAACTCTAGACGTATCTTTGTAATGGCTCTTCTGCCTGTTTGTTCTTCCATTTGAAAATAACTTATAAATCATTCCAGAACACAAAACTGTATATTTATGTTCAAAATGAATAAAAAACAGACTAAACTCAAAAGATTAAAAAAAAAAACTTAAAGGATTCGTAAGCGCCAAGATCAGACAGTAACACGGAGTACGAACCGGCGAACTTTTGTGCCACATGTCCAAGTAAGCTAACACGTTGTTGACTAACGACTAGTTAAATCTTCATCGGTCAGCAACATTTGAGCATGAAGTCAATATTAGAATGTTTTACTTTACTTCCATAATCAATTACTATATAATAGCCGGCGACATGGCTAAGTTTTGCATGCAAATTGCAACGAGATGCAAAATTGCCGATCAACAAAGTGTTAACATTTTATAACAAAATTGCATTTTTTATAGCAAAATAAATAAATAAATTTAAAAAAATACAATTTTGACACAAAATCGAACAAAATTTCGTCAAACGTCTCGTCGAATTTGCCGGAAAAATGCAGATTTGTCATCAAAATTTCGACAAAAATCCCAGATTTTCGAAATAAGTTCACAGAAGTCTTATCTAAAATAAAACCCTCTAACTACCAGAAAAGTGGATTATGTCATTGAATTGAATTTTGTACACGGCTAAACTAATACAGTAATTCTATATTCAGTTAACCTGTTCTTATGTAACTTCTTATTGTGCAACAAGAAGAGATGTCGATTTGTATCCGCTTGTTATGCTTTTGAGGTTAGCAAACAATGCAATGAGGGTATCAAACCTACTATAATCTATAAATAAGGGAAGGAGGCATATTTTTTGACTGCTGAAATTCGGACTTTATTAATTTAACTTTTTCTTTTACTTCTTTATTTTAAGTTTTTTTTTTACACTTTCGCTTTTTGTTCCTTACAACAACAAAAATGTAGCACCTTACTTTTTCTTTTTAGATATTTATTCGCCCAGTTTCTTTGTGACGGTATTTAAGAGCATCACTTTTTGTTAAAAGATTTTGTGCTTCGCTGCCCTCGTTCTGCGGCCAAGTTATTCTTTTTAGGATGCTTTTATGCCTGGTTGTTTTACAATATTTCAACTTTCCACTGTCTTTTTATAACATTTTTGTGCCCTCTTTTTTTCTTCTTTTAAATTTTCCATAACGCTGCCTCTTTAATGAAACGCGTCATTTGCAGTGCATCTTTTAAGTTGTGTTTTCTTTTGCCAGAAATCATTTGATTTTATTTGACACGAACAAATATTTAATTAAAAATGTCAAGTACTATCCCGTTGAGAAAAATAAATGGATTGTGTTTTAAATCGAACTAATATTTATAAAGTATTTGTGAAATTATTAATTTTCTTAAAAATGATGTCAATTTGCCAAAATCATTGAAATCAATGAATTATTTCTGGATTTTTGTACATTTTGTAAGTTGAACGGTGTTGGAGTAACTTAAATTATTTATTAAGTTACTTAACTTAAATTGAAAAATTAAAGCACAAGCGTTTTGTGTGATTCCTCCGTCTAGTCTCAAGCGTTAGGCATAAAATTATGATACTCAATAAATTTGCAAAAAATCGTTATATTAAAAAATCGTATTTGCCACCAGTGTTTGTTTTACTGTAAGATTTAAAAGCTTGAAATTACGAAGATGTGTAGAAAAGTTTATACTGGAAAGTTCGAAGAAATAAAAAAAAAAAAAGTAGCGATCGACCAGACAAAGAATATTAAAAATATTTTTATGACGATATCTTACAACAACGCAATGCTTTAAGTTGTCATTCAATGCCCCTCAAAAAACGAATTACAATATTTCATTTACGATATAATTTTTTAAAATTTTTGGTGTTTAATTTAAACAAAAGAACTATGCATGAAATTTTTTTCCTTCCTTTTTATGGACATTCGTCATTCACCAACAAAATCGCATTGGCCCTCATTCAAATAAATTAATAAATAATTTCAAGCCAACTTACGCCAAAAATGTTTCGCTCTTGATAGAATGTCTTTGAAGAAGAAGAAGCTGAATGGAGAGAATATGTAGTTTCAAGGAATGTATACGAATCAATACTCCAGTTATCATGTAGAGGTATAAGAGAAAGGGGGGAAGGAAGTCCTGAAAATTGCCACCTGTCTTTCTCTTTTTCGTGTTCAACAACAATGCTTTGGTCACAAAAAGAAACATTTTCTTGAAACAGCCACATCTCTTTCTTACTCTCTTTTTTTCTTCCTTCCGTGTCTTCTGTTCGCATGAATTTTTTACGACGCCAAACTGTAGTTTGGTTTCGAAGACGGGGCAATTTATCTCGCCAACTTTAGAAAAATGTTCGAAGAGTGTATCTCGTGTGAGTTTCTGCTTCTTTATCGTGTTCCGTGAACTGAATATTTTTCGGAACGTGATAATAAAGTTTTGAATATTTTAAACGCCAGATAATGTATGTAAATACTAATAACGTTTCGAAATGACTCGTGGTTAGGAATGTGCATTTATAAAATTTTGTGTAGGTCTCTTGTCATAGAAGACTTTAGTTTTGCGAAGAGACAACGTCACAAAAAGTCAAACTTTCTCTTATTTTTTTATACTTGTAATTGTTATGTATAAAATTTTACATGCTTCTAAATGAAACAATTCTTTATACTAAATGATTTAAGATACTTCAACTATTTTGGACCATAACCTCCTAACTTTCTCTTATTTAACCTCCTGAAAAGCGAGTTTTAAAATGCGATTTTTACAATTAAAAATGAATCTTCTAAGAAAATAAAGAACATGTGTATAAAGAAAAAAATCAATTCATTAAACTTAAGGTAACGGACTGGTTCCGTAAAATTTTTTAAAAAGAGTTTTATTAAAATTTTAATGTTATGTTTGGCAAGTAAGGGTCCTATAAATACAAGTTTTAATTAAAGTTTAAAAATGTATTAAATATTTTTCATTATGAGAGCAGATTTGAGTTTAAAAACGACCCATTTTTCAAGACACGCTAACAGTTCTATGACAAATTACAAAATTTTTTCTAGATCAATAATGTGATTAACAGTGTTTTGAACCTTAAAACAATTTCAAGAAGCCAAATAAATAAAACCAAATATATTGTTTAATGATGAACTTTTAAAGAAAAATTCGAAATATTCTTACTTAGAGCATGATAAAAACCACAAATTTTAGATCAGCTTTAAGTTCGAAACATCGATAACATTACATAACATTTCTATAGTAAACTTTTTTGCAATGTGTTTTAGCGTAAAGAAATTTTCTCAAAATCAACAATGATTTCTTTAGGAAATGCATATAAAATGCGACGAAATTCTGGATGTATGAAAATTCTGACAAAAAGTAAATAAATAAATAATATTAATGATGATGATTCGGATATTAATTTTTGAAAATTTATTTTATGGGTCCCAAAAATATAATTTATTCAAATAAAAAAAAAAGGTTAAAATACTTCAATCATAACAAAAATAATTTTAGTTTCGTTTTCGGAAGTTTTCCAGTATCGTCTTTCACTCTGTGAAAAAGCAACTATTACTTCATTTCTAAAAATCGGAGATCAAAAAATCAAAGGGTTTTCAAAAGCTAATTACTAAACTGAGTTCAAATACGGATAGTAAGAAAAAAAAATTAATTTTCTTCCAAATTTCCAATTTTTTACCCAAAATTACCCTTAACTACTTTTTAGTTATTTTTAATTGTCAAATAAAAAAGATGCATTTTATTTTTTAACACTTTTTTTTACACAGTGTAGGATACTTTTGACAAAGTATTTATTCATATTTTTGCCATGACAAAAAATCCATTAGACTCACATTATAAGGTAATAGTCCAAAATGTGACTCGATTTTTCTAATTTTTTTCTTATTTTTCATGGTCATTAAAAACTCCGACCCACAAGGGTGAATCCAATTATATTTTTACATAGACAATTAATTGTTTTGGAACGGCACACAAACAGGAAAACAAATCTAAAAAAAAAAAAAAAATCATTTTTTAAGAGATAAAACAGCGCCTAAAGGGTGTGTAGGGTCATAACCACCTTCTAGTAGGTGTTGGTAGGGTATCCTCAATGTGTGCTCCCGAACTCACGTATGGATAACAAACACTTGGTCTCGCACTAGTAAGATCTTTAGATCTTAGCACTAGTTAAGATCCTGCACTTTACAGAGATTTAAAATAAGTATGGAAATAAATTTACTTTAATCCCAAGAAAAGGGACCGAAAGCGATTGACATAGATAAGAAAACAAAGAAAAGTTGACAAGACTTCTGACTCATGTGACTGGTATTCTCGTGACAACCAAGAAAATGACCACAAACAAGAGGACTTTATGAAATAAATGATGAAGTGCGAAGCGGATGGTGAAAGCAGTTACATTTTGTAAAAGCGGACACGACATTTTTGTAAAAATTTAGAGAAAAGAAAGATTAAAAATCGGAAGTAAAAAATTAAAAAAAAAAAAAAATCATGAAGTGAACGGTGCAGTTAAGGCCAATTTGTTTGTCTAATGGCGTTTTTAGTGTGCAACACAACAACACAATTCCCCATGTTTCCTCGATTATAAATTACAATAATCATGTATAAACGATTAATTCAATTGAAGGGCTTAGGGCGTAAGCATACATTTTCAAATGGTTCATAAGAGCGCATTTAATGAGAACTTTTCGTGAAAAACATCGTCATTTGAAGGTAATTAATAAAAGATGTTCTCTTTATAATCGGTGATCTAGCGAAATTTTCCGAACATTGCAAAGTACGTATCTGAAAACAATGTTAGGAATCAGATGTATCTCGTGGAAAAGATCACCGTTGTAAACAGTGCAGCTTACCACTCTATATTACCCCGAGCTTTCAAGTTAAGCAAACGAAAATTGAATAGGATGAATCACATAACCTTTTAAAACCCAGCATCCAATACTTGGACATTTAGTTAGGACAATTTTATTACTTAAAAAAATTATATTTTAAGTTTTTTTTTTCTTCTGTAGCCTTTATGAAGCGATTGTCTGTGCAAAAGTATAATCGGATTTAACACCATTGTTCGTCAGTTTAATTACGATTGAAAAAGATAAAAAGGTAATAAATTTAATTTAATTAACATTTCGGGAAGCTTTATGGTCTATAAATATTTTATTTGAGAGTAGTGGGTTTTATTTCATGACAAAAATGTGAAGAAATACATTATAAAAATATCCTACAATCAGCAAAAAAGATAAAATGTTATCATTATTTATGTTATAATTAAAAATAACGAAAAAATTTAATTGAGTTTAATCAATAGAATTTAAAAATATTTTATCGTATTGGATTTACTTTTCTTTTTTAACCATTTGGTGCAGATAAGACACCGATATTCCTTTTATATAATATTTTTTTTCTGACGGTCTAATTACAAGCGAAAGTATATTTTGGTAAACATAAAAAACAATTTAATAGTTGCTAAATTATTCTGTTCGATTATCGGAATTATGTTGGCACTATATATATATATTTATATAAAATATAAAAACTAATAAAAAGTAGTTTTAATTTGTTTTTTTTCATTCATGTTCAAAAATTTATCAAAATTAAATATGATGCATAACTGATTTTCTAAGATTTAAATAATTGTAATGAAGTGCAAATTTTACATGTTTTTCTGTTTAGATGTGAGCCCTGTTAGGAAGATTTTACCTTTAACGCAGAAAAAAGGTGTTTCATGCTGTATTTCATAACCATACATTTGAGAATGCATAAAATATAATAATATTAAGCATTATAATATTTTCCACGCATTTTGACCCAAATGAATGCAATAAAAAAATACTGAATTATTTTTTTTTAAATTCTGCTTCAAAGGGCTGGCTAAGTTACGCATTTCTAAGTAAAAATTGCCTTTTTTGCCATTATTTCCAGCTTTAAGAGATAAGAAATTTGACGCCTGTACCGGGAAAATAAAATAACAGAACTAAAAAGAAAAAGGTAAAATACGTTTTTGTTTCCAAAATGTCAAATTTAATTCATGAAAAAAACTAAATTGATGCGTAAAAGGTAATTTGTAAATCATTCAAGCAATTCAATTTCAAGAGGAGGAAATTGAAGATGTAGCTACAAACACAGTGTGACAGGAAAGACATTTCAATCAAAACAGATACAAGATAAGTTATCTCAGTGACCAACGACAATTCTGTCGTCACTAAGACTGGGATGATCTTGTACACTTATTTTTCTAGGACACGCCAGATCGATGGAAGACCAGAGCACTGTATTCCAAGTTGCAAGGGACGGTCCCTAGGTCTCCGTCGTCGCCGTCCAGACTGTTCTCTTTGATTCCCAGGCGATTTTCCTTGTTTTCCCAAAATGCTGGATAGGGGACTAGATAAAAATTTTTAAAAATAATCAATATAAATTACTAAAAATAAAGAGCTATTTTCAGCTCAAGTCTTAAAATTAGGTTCTTTTGTTCCCCATTTCTCATGCTGACTTATAGAGTATTACAGTTTCTTATTTCTTAAATCACTCAATAATATTTTGGAACCCATTTATTAAATCGATAATTAATATTTAGAATAACTCTCAAATTATTAAGTCACTCATTAATAGTTTGAATAATTCTCAATTTTAGTAACTCATTAATATTTGGGAACCTGTTTATTAAATCGCTATTAAATATGTAGAATGATTCTCAATTTATTTAGTCACTCATTAATATTTGGGAACCTATTCATTAAATCGCTAATTAATATTTAAAATAATTCTCAATTTATTTATAATCACTCATTAACACTTTGGAAACTATTTATTAAATCACTAATCAATATTTAAAATAATTATCAACTTACTTAGTCACTCATTAATATTTCGGAAACTATTTATTAAATCACTAATTAAAATAAGTANTAAAATAATTCTCAATTTATTTATAATCACTCATTAATATTTTGGAAACTATTTATTAAATCACTAATTAATATTTAAAATAATTCTCAACTTACTTAGTCACTCATTAATATTTCGGAAACTATTTATTAAATCACTAATTAATATTTAAAATAATTCTCAATTTATTTATTTAGTAATAATTTATATAGTAATAATTTAATAAAGACATAATAATTTATATTTTGGAACCTATCTATTACGTGCACATATAACTAAAACCTGTTGGTTTATTTATTTTTTATTTGCAATAAGAGTTACATAAAAATTTTTTGCAAAAGTATATTACTGAAATCAATTTAGGCTAACTCGAATGGGCTAATGAAGTATTTTTTTAAATTTATTTTGCATTTGCTGCGAAACATAATTTTATCTAAACTTTTTACTTCAAGAAAGAAATACATTTTTAATAAAAACTAT